CTTTCCGGATTGAGCAATAGTAGTGATTTTTTTTTTAAAAAAAAATTTTAACTAATCACTTTGAAGCATCAACTTTTTGTTTGACATCCAACAAAGTTGCCGAATATACAGAACCAAATCTAATTTTTTTTAATATCGGATAATTTATTTCAATCGCATCTCCATATGCAAAGATTCTGAGTTGAAATGCTTTCATATAATTGTCAATATCCTTACTTCTACTTGCCCATCACGTTGCTATGTTAGGGCCACATGTTAGACACCACACCATTCTTCGTTCGTTGAAGGTTATAAAATAATTGAACAATCACATTCTGGCTTATGTATATTATTATTGAAGCGTCTAATTGGGTTTGTTGATTTTTTTATTTGCGCAGAAGTATTTTATTTGTGAATTTTAGGTTTGCTTACCAGCATAGATTTTTCATAATTATGGATATTTGCATTTTATCTTTATCTTAGTGATGCTAAATACTATATTATATTCTAATACTGTTGTATTGGGTTCTGCTTTTTATAGTATGCAATTGTGATATTTTTGGAAGGATTTGTGATCGTAATAAGTATAGTTTTACTCTTATTGTGCCATTTTTTTAGAAGGGTTGGTGATCATAATTAATATACTAACACCGTAGTATTATATTTTGTTTTTTTACAGTGCGATAGCATTTGTATAATACTGTATAGCACAATTATGATCTCTTTAGCTAATTTAATATATGTTGTATTGAGCTCCTAATTCTTATGTGTGGATTTAGGTGTTTGTCTATAAGTATAATTTTTTCAGAGTTGTTGGTGTTTGTTTTAGTAGTATCAAAGTATTGATCTTGTTATATAGGATATATTTCGTTATATCGTGATAGTATGTAACAATTGTTATGTCTTTAATAGGGTTTGTAACAGACTTAATAGAGCTCCAAATAAAATTTAATAAATCATTGCCATTGGATCCATTCAGAGCTTCTGGTTCTTAAACAATTGATTTTCACGAATATTTAAGCATCGATTTGAAAAAAAAAAAAAAAAAAAAAAATATCATCACTTTACCAGATTGGCATATGCTTTTCGTGTTAAAAATGCATGTTTTGTTCTGCTAATCTCACCATAGATTTGTGTGAATGTGATATTAATATAAAGCCTTCTCGTGCTAAGACCAATTCTCAGCAAATTTACAGTCGAATATATGATCCCTATAAAACCTCATCTAATCAAAAACAGTTACTTTGACACTATGATTATCTCTTCGCTTAAAACTGTAATTTTAATACATCATTTAATATAAGTTTCTGCTCCGCCTGCTATTCGCAGTACGAACGTGCTAAGAGTTCTGAAGATTCAAGTACTAGCGATGATGATGATAACTATGATGATAATTCTTCAGCTTCATTAAAGAAAAGCTCTTCTTGTTTACAACTAAATTCTAAGGTTATAATTCAGGTTGAAAACTCTACCTCTATGCCTGCAAAATGGTTTACTTTTAATTTGGATAAATTTTCTATTTTTCGTAACCAACTTACTGATCATATTTGTAAGTGTACCGATACTAATAATGTTAACATTAACGATGATATTAAAATTACTTACAAAGTAAATGGCCGTGGTCAAGAAATGGCGTTAGAAGATGATGATGATTACAATGCTTTTATAAGAGAGTTCCAGAAAATAAAAAAGGCAACCAAAAATATAGTTCTGTATGTTACGCTAAACTCCTCCGATAATCATGATATAAAAAAAAAGAAAAAAAAAAGTTAAGGTATGATATTAATATTTTTAATATACAATTTAAAGAGGGTCAATATTAATACGGTCAAAGAGGATATACAGTATATCTGTACTTAGCTTTTTATAAATTAAATATCCCAATATTTATAGGATTCGTCGGTAATTAACATTGAAGATTTGGATTCTGAAGAAGAAAAAGTAAAAACTAAAAGAGCAAAAAAAAGTGATCGTATACCAAAAGAGGAAAGGCTATCATCTAATGAAGTCAAACTGGCCAATATCATTACCCAACTCTGCTCCAAGTATCAGTGTGGTATACATAATATTCCGTGCTATATAGAGGATGATCGACACCTCTCTCTTAACCCTGCCCGGCTTCATCTGTGGTCTCGAGACATAGTATGGTTATTTAAGGGTAGGATGTACGTAGATCATTTTTCATATGATCTGCATGGTAGATTAGATTTTTACATAGTAAAGAAAAAAATACTTCTGATAAATCTT